AAACGTTTGGGGACACTCGCGTAGATCTGCAGCTCGGTAAACAGGCACGCCGGGAGACGGAGCTCCACAACGAAAAAGTAAAAAAAAAAAAAAATCGGGAAATTAAAATGATACCAGAAACACGACCGGACAAAAACGGCTTTCAGTATTAGCTTCCATGTCGATAGAAAAGGACTAGCTAATGGACCTGAAAACTGGACAACAGAGCCACTGAAGTGTTCCTGAGAAAACAAAAGAGGATCGACTTTATTTTCAAATAAGCAGACGCTGTGGAGAAGTACATTGGTGAGTCAATGAATTTTATTTTACATTTCTTCTTGTCATTTTATTTCGTTAGTATTAAATTCATGGTAACGAAATAAAATGACAAAGATATAAACATGTATCAAATAAATCTGCTCACCTGCAATTTATTATGGCGCATTGTAGTCACCTTCGTGCACGAAAGTTCGTTCAATCTCAGCTGTTAGTCAGTTATTAGTCAGTTATGTCAGTTATTTGCTGTTGTATCGTCGATTTTCAAAAGGCAAATGATCTGTTTACTTTATTTTCAAAAAACAGTTTGTTTTGTTGTTGTTTGGTTGGTGTCTTATTTGAAACTGCGACATTGCGCAATTTATTGGACAGGCTTGTTTAAGATCACACAGCGTAATTTGGGTGGCATTTTATTTTGTATTTTTAAATCATCTTTTTATTTTTGACTATCTGTAAATGTAGTTTCCTGCTCTTAATTGTGAATGCATACTTGATGCTGAAATTAAGTGCTGCTTGACGAGCCTATACAGTATTGTGTTCATAATATGTGACGTCACTGAAGGCCTAAGGTTGAAATGCACGGCCCGCCACTGACCAATATTATCTCAGAGCACAAAATTAAAAAAACTTTAACCAGCAAAAAAAAAATAAAATAAAATAATTTGTGATTTTTTTTAATCAAAGATGTCTGGATTAATGGCTACGAGTAGCAGTCACAAACCGGGATGATTGATGGTAATATCCAGCACGTTTTCGCTGAAAAAAACTCAAGCGGCTTATCAGCGTGATTGGGGTGTAATGTCTTTAAGTGACGCCTTAATTTCTTTGGTTTCATGCTGTCCGCTGCCAACATTTTTAGACACAGTAATTAGACACTGGTCTTTCCTTGTCTCCCACCGTAGTCACAGTGAAGCCATGCGCTGCATCCGCTTTGTCATAGTTCCTCATCTTAGCTTTCGGGAGACTTTTGTTTGTCTCTTATCTCCGTCTCTCGCCGCCTGTCGACTTTGTGTGTGCTCATACAAATGTTAATGTCTGTAGCCGGAATCAAACCCTGCACTACCGGGCTACCCATATATATATATATATATATATATATTTTTTTTTATACATAACACCATCCAGTGTGGGTCCTTGGGCAAGATCCTTCACGCTAATGCCTACCTCATACAATGATGAGAGACAATAAAATGAATGACATGCCG